CACCTGAATAATGATGCCTTTATTTTTTTTATGGCAATTTGCAATCTTGAATGTCAAATCCATAAGGCAGCTTTTTGAGTAAATATGCTTCTGACATCAGACAGGGTAACTCTAATAGAAGGATCAACTGAAAAACAGCTCCATAAATTAAATATGTGTCTTCTAAGAAGCGATCAGACAAATCTGTTTTATGGATTTCAAATGTCCTTGGAGGCATAACAACAAGAGACAGAGTGAGAGGGGAAAAAAAGCAAATTACCTTCCTTTTAGATCCTACATGTGTTGGTCTAATAATATTACACTGTACAGCAGAAAAGTATAAAACAGCAAGTGAAGGCACCAGAGATGTTCCATTACCACATATTTGTGAATGGCCCTAGTTGCGAACGTTTCGAGTTATGAACCCAATCTCATCGCAAGTAGCAGACCCTACTTGTGAACGCAGATCAAGTTACGAACCCAAAAGGCAGGGAGAAAGGGCGGGAAATTTGAATTTCCTGCCCTTCCTCCCTGCCTTTGAAGCTTTCAAAGGGCTTCCTCCGAAGCCAAAAATCGGCTCCCTCCTTTCACCCGATGCTGAGTCCCCTTCGCGCCGGGTGACAGAAGGGAGCCAATTTCTCCCCGGCTGCCTGGCTTGCTTTTCCATGGATATTTAATTCCTCAATGATTCCAACAGAATGAGAATTGATAAACCACAATCCAAATCAAGTAAGCAAAGGCAGCTGACCATCTGGTACAATCCTCATCACATGGTGTAGGGTTGAGAAGGGCAGCTCTGAATCCAATGCTCTGATCTCCTGTCTTCTCCAAGCAAGCACAACTCTCTTCATGGCAGTAGCTTGATAAGGACAGGGCCATTTCTGCTGTGGGAACAGCACTTGCACTCTTTGGCTGGATGTGTGTTTCTTGGTGTTCTATTGTATATTTATTTACCATATATTTTTAGTTTTACTATATATGTATTCAAACTATTTATCATTTATTCCCTTTCACTTCAAAGGTACCTAAATTGGTTTACAAGATTAAAATAAACAATATGAAAAGGAGAAGGGGACAAAATGTCAGCTCTCTTCTTGTGTCCTTAGTGAATGCACTTGCAAGGGTAGAGTGACAGAGAGAAAGACCTCCCCTCATTATTTTGAAACCTGGGCAGGCTCATAAAAGGAGATGCAGTCTTTTTAGGTTGCTTGGACACAAGGCATGTAAGGCTTTATAAGTCAGAACCAGAACTTCAGTTTTGTCGAAAACCAGATTAGTAGATATGTAAAAGGAGACTTATGGCAGTCCTGTATCCAGCACCAGTGAACAATATGGTGGCAGCATTTTGGAGCCACTGGCATTTCTGAACAGGTTGCAAAGGCAACTCCATATAGAATAAATTAAATCAATCCAAACAGGATGTAATTAAGGCACATGTCGCCATAGCCACAGAACATATCTCCAGGAATGAACCTAATTGGTGCACTAGGTTTAATTGTGTAAATACACTCCTGGTCACCACCGAGTTTGGTGCACTAGGTTTAATTGTGTAAATACGTACACTCCTGGTCACCACCAAGTCCTAGGCATCCAGGCTCAGGCACAAATCCAGGAACATACCCAAGCTGTGAACCTGTGTTTTCAGAGGGAGCATCTGAAACTCTGTTCCCTGACCTTTCTTTTGACTGAGCAAGAACACCTCTCTATTGACTGCTGTTTATCTGCCAGCCCTTTTTCATTACTGTGATTCATTTTCTTCTTTTATTGTAATGCATGGTATCAGTCTCACTATACATTAAGAATGCAAATTGTCTTCAGACACATGTGGAAACATTAATCGAATCAGAGGAATTTGTGCATTTCTAGAAAGCCCACAGGGCAGAGGAAATAGGCACTGGTCACCCAATGGGCACACAATAGCACCCTGGACGAAACCCTTGTGTTCAATATGGCCTAGGAAATAAGAAAGAGAGGGCAGAAAGCCCAGAAACCAGGCTGGAAGGCCCTTTCCATCTTTCTTTCTCAACAGAGATAAGCAATTACATTTTTTTCTTGAATAAATACACTTGAGTGTTGATGGACAAAAAAGGAAGAGGCAGAGAAAGGAAAGACAATGAGGTGAAATTCCAGATGTTGAGGAGGAACAGCAGGCTCCCTGCATTGCCCTTTTCAGAAGGAATCAGTGAGGACTGTGTCCATTGCCCCTTTACAGCCTGTCACTCATGCTCTTTCCTGTGGATGCCTTAGGAAGTTATTCTGCTCCCTCATGGGATCAAGGCTTTCTCCCTGGGGGCCAGAAAAGAAGACGTGGAAACATTAAGAGTGCCATGCTCTGGAGACTGCCCTGGACAAAAGCCCTTTCATCTTCCTGCTCTTCAGGGATCTCCACACCACTGGAGACTCATTAAATTTCATGTCGTTTGCGTTTCCCCTTTTGTGGGAATGTTCACCCCTCCCCTGGAGGTCCAGAAATCCAGAAAGGGCACAGACAAGGAGCAGCTGGGAATCTCTCCAAAAGGCAGATTAGGTAATCATCTGTCTTCTCTTTGGGCATGGGACAGGTTGGGGAGCCAGTACACATCCTTCATACACATACATCTTCCATATGAGCCTCTCATCAACTATCTTCTTCCAAGACACTTGTGTTCCACTACCAGAGCAAATGTGTATGTGTTTGTTTGCCTTTTTAGCTTGTAAACCACCCAGAATAGTGCATTGCACTAATTGGGTAATATAGATATGGATGGATGGAAGGATGGATGGATGGATGGATGGATGGATGGATGGATGGATGGATGGATGGATGGATGGATGGATGGATGGATGGATGGATGGAGACATAACCATTTAAATAAGTGCCTGGACTATGGAATTTCTTCCCAGTACAGAGTAGACTGGAATCTTTATGCTTCCATTTTAGGTAGGCAGTTAAGACAGTTTTGTTCTAGCAGGATTTTAATAAGTGTTTTTTTTTCAAATCAGGCTTTGCTTTATTTTGGCATTGTAAGTATTTTAAATTATGCTGATATCTTATAGTTGTAAGCTGGCTGGGGAGATATTTTAGAGCCAAAAGATATATACAAATAATTTCCTTTGTTTAATATCCAGGTCCCATGTCCACTCTCTATTCCACTTTTAGGTTCCTGCAGCTTCATGCATATTACCAAAAGTATGATACTGCCTTGGACTAATTGGCCCGTTGGACATTTCATCCAATGCAGCATGGTAGTCGCGCCTCTTCAAAGTTAGTTCTCTATATTATGACCATGAGGTCCTTCACATTCAGAAATGGAATTTGGAACTTTATTCAGGCACGTTGTGTGCGCTGGCCCTGAGCTAAACCCCCACTCTATACTTACAGTGGGCTCTTTCAAAAATACAAATATTTTGACAAGAAATTTGAGAAGTTACTTTTTACAACTATAATTCTATATAAGGCAGATGGGATTATGGGCAATATGTAACTTTTCTGAGCCATGATCTGAATGCAGCAATCTACAAGCAAAAGCTTAGGCTCTTATTGCTTTTCTGTACCACTTTATCTCACACTAAGCCTATCTGGATACAACCAGTGATTTGACACAGACGAAGATGGTTTGCTTGTACTTAACTGTAGACCAATGAAGTGCATAACACGGAGGCAAGCTGGCCAGCCCTGCTGTCAGATACAGTGAGGCCTTGTGATGAGAAAGACGCTTCAGAGCATTTCTGTTCCATATGACAAAGTAACTTGAGAGGCCACTGGTGCAAAGGATAGGGCATTTCGATGTTTTGTACTCCCCCTACCAAAATTCACCCGGAATCTCCCAGAAAAAATTCTGAGAGGGGGAAACCCCCCCCCCAAAAAAACAGGCTTCAGAACAAGCTTCTCGCTATCTCCACAGCACTCCTGTCTGTGTGCTTTCAAGCTCCTTTGAGAAACAAGGGAACTGCACCCCGGGAGTCACAATGCTTCCTAGGTCTCAGAAAGGTTCATAGAATCTAATGACCATCAAGACTACTGCTCCCAAGAACCCTTGAGTCCCAGGGTATTCCAGGGCAGTACCCTGTTTTTTCAAAGGGGCTCAACAGCACATGGGAGAATCATGGAGAACTGCTCAGAAGCCAGTTCTTTTGAGGCTCCCAATCTGAGAATTCTGCCTGGGGGATTCTGGGTGAATCCTAGCAGTTGGGTTCTAAAACCTTCCATCCCTAATAAGTACTATGATGTTGGCTTAGAGGCTGTGAAAGTGCCATTTATTGCTCTATATATGGTAGCAAGATATCTTGCTCTGGTCCTGGGAATAAGGGGCAAGATCCACCAGGAAAGCCTCTGATTATGACCCTCTATGGGAATTATGTTGAACCATTGCTCCCATACTTAGAGTGGTCCTGACCCAACCAGATAGGCGGGATATAAATAAAATAAAACAACAACAACAACAACAACAACAACAACAACAACAAAATATCTTGATTTGTAGAATAATATAAATGGGGGGGGGGACCCAGATCTCACTTGACTCATTAAAACCTATCTACAGACATGTAGAACGGAGGGAAAGCACATACATGACATATCAGGTATGCCCCAGATGGTGTGAGGTCATAATCCACAGCTTGGAAAGTAGCACTTAAGGGCAAAACTGGAACCAGAACAAAGATTCTGATAATATGGCAAGCTAGTTATAGATGCAGACAAACCATTTTTAAAAATCACAAAATCCTGCCAGTCTGAAATGTATAAGTTCCATTGATTTCAGCAGCAGGATGGAAAATATCCTTCCATCTGTTCCATAAAAATGGGACTTGAAGCTACTGAACATTCACTGGATTATGACTTCTATTTGAAAATTAATATATCAATTCACCAGGTCTGAAATAAGAAACTTCACAATATTCCAGAAACGTGTTTCTGATTATTCTCCCACTAAATGGGAAGATGCAGTGGACTACACTGGTGGAGAAGGAGCAGATGAAGACATGGCTAAAAGTCAATTAAGAATGTTTGTTTTTAAGTGGATATATTTAGACACACTTACCTCAGGATGTCCTCCAACTTCAATGTACGTGCATACGGGATGGAAAGCGCCAGTTCCACAGACATACAAGTGAGTTTGGTTATATGCTTTAAGCACCTTGATGAAGTTAGCACATTCTTTCTGAAAAGGGCAAATTAAAAAAAATCATTCAGCTAGCAGAGAGATATATAAGCATTACCTGCACAGCCTTTACAGTCATTCACAGTGCTGTATTGCTTTTAAATGTTTGAAAGCTACCTCCCTTCTAGCAATGCTCAAGGCATCTTTTGACAAAAATCAACAAGAAAACAGAGCATAAAATAATAGTATAATAAGCAAAACTTAAAATGTTGATAGTACTGACCACAATGCTGCCTACTCAACAGCCATGGGCCTTTCAGAATAAAGAGTTTCCTCTCAGGCAGATTATGAGAACATTTCAAATTTCATCAGAGAGATTGCTCTCAACAGAGACCTCAGTGACCTGATGTGGCCATAAGAAGTGAGACATTATATCCATAGCTTAAGTATGAAGCAAGTGGGCTCACGTGAAAGAGGTTTGTAAATTCCAGAACATGATGCCTAATTTGTAAAATCAATCTCCTTTTGCCCCACAACTTCCTTCGCCCACCCCATGGCTGGAAATTTAAGACAACGAAGGAGTTTTCAGGGAAGCAAGATTTGCAACAAAGACAAAAGAAGGAAAAATAGGATTGCCTAAGCAATAAGTAAGCAAAATGTCTAGGACACCATCCTAGCCACTATGGGTGTAGAGGTGCTTTATATCAACATCCCATGCATAAAGATGGACTGCGAAACAAGAACAATACAATTCTGAACGGGATGACAGCCATCGTACTCTAGGACTTCATACTCACACAGAACTACTTCACGTCTTTTAATGGTGTAATAACTAGACATGCGGATGCATATAAAAATGAATCAGGATATTAGTTAAATTTCCCTGATTCATCAGATATTCATTGCTTTGTATTCTTGGGGTCCAGAGACCCCAACAAATATGAATAAATGAATATAACCCTTATATATTCATCCCTTCATTTCCTAACTGCTTATGCCCCTGCGGATCAGCTGTTCCTCAGGGGCATAAGCAGAGAGGGGTTTTCCTTTTAGGTGGCTTGCTTCAGGATCCCCCAGCCTAGAGCTTTCCCTCCTCTTGCTATGCCCTGTGGAGAAAAGGAGGGGAAAAGAGATCAAGTGATCCCCCAGCCGCACTGCCTTTGCTACACTGTGGGGCACAGCAAGAGGAGGGAAAGCAAAAAAGAAAAAGTAAAAAAAAAGACCTGATGAATGACAAATTGATTCATTGTTTGTTAGGTCGTGTGGGGCAATTCGTGGTTTGTCAAATTTGACAACCCACGAACCAAGACAAAGCGCCATTTTGGCTATTCTGGAACAGTGGCTTCACAGCTCCTGTGCCTTCAAACCTCTTCTTTGTGTGAGATACACTGATGACATCTTTATCATGTAGACACATGAAATCACAAAAGAAGTTCCACCAGAACTTCCAAAACCTTCAGCCTAGCACCAATTTTATCCAAGATCACTTTATACAGGAGGTGCCTTTTCTCGATACATTGTGTATAACTACACAATGAATATATAATCACCACATCATATCATAAATGTGCTGATTGTTACATGCCTCCAGCCAGGACACAGAACAAAATCTCTTGCCTCCAATCTCTGATACAACCTTGCTCAACCTGCTCAGATGCCCAAGACCCCAATTCAAAACTCATTGATTACAGGTGGCATTTTTAAATGCAATATCCAGACAATGAGATGACCCCTTCTCCTCATTTACAGGGCAAGACTAGCATTCAGGAACAAATTATTGTAAGATACGCTTGAAGAAAAGGTGACAAAACACCACCTACAGCTCCCACCGGGGATCACCCACATCATCTGTGAGTGACATCCCATTGTAGACGATAATACTTCCCCCTCTCAGACTTAGAAACAGTAGAAACAGTCCTTTAATGTTAAATAAACTGCTGATTTTTAACAGGGACTACAACATGGCTGTGGAGACAGTAACAAAGCACTGCTACAAGCCAAAATGCCAACTGTATCTCCACATCTTCTCTTGCAGCATCATTAAACAAAGTCATCCACAATGTCAGGAGCTCATTCACTTGTTCATTCTAATGAGAGAGATGCCATCCTGTGCCAGCAGTCCTTTTTTTTTTCTCTACACAGAGCAGACAGGACAGTCTCTGTGAAGGAGAATAAGGGAACACAAACTTGACAATGGAAAACATACAAAAGCCAGTGTCACAACATTTCCACCTCCCAGGAAAAACAGTCACTGAACCCAAAGTGGCTCTTGAAAAAGAAAGAAAGAAAGAAAGAAAGAAAGAAAGAAAGAAAGAAAGAAAGAAAGAAAGAAAGAAAGAAAGAAATTACAAATGAAGATTTGAGCGGGAGACAGCTGAAGCAGGTTATACCGATAAATTCCAGTGGGCATAAAGGCTTACATAGAGACTGGGGCATCTTGGCGCACCATATATATTAATATGGAAGGTTTGTCTACAGTCCAGTGCACAGCAAGGAATGTGTTTTCTTTGTCCAAACTTTGGCATCATCACAAGAAACTACTTCTTGAAAACAAAGGGCATTTGTATTTACATTTCAATAGCAAGAGCCTGACCTTTGTCTATCTGCTGGCAGAGAATCTAATCACTCCACCTATTGCCAGGGTGTTTGCGTAATCAACACTCTGAATGTTCATTGACTGCATTAATAATGCTATTAGCATGTGGAAAATTAATTACCACTGTTAATAATGAAATTGTCATCCTATTTCACTTGGTTCTCACCCCTCCTACCACCACCGCAACCATGTACACTCTACACTGCCCACCTATGGCCTAAACATTGGCTGAAATCCTATTGTTTTATGTAGCAAGTCACAAGCAGAGTATGCCCATTGAATCAGTGGAGGGTACAGAGTAGCTGACCCATAAAATCACCACTGATTCAACTGGACTACTCTAGTTGGAACGTACAGTATGATTCAACTGGACTACTCTAGTTGGAACGTATGACACTAAGCAACATGATTTCAGCCATTGCACTCCATGAATCTGAAGACTGTAATCCACTAAAGTTCATAATGAAATAGATCTGTTGGTCTTATAAGTGCCACAACACTTATGTTTTTTTTTCCTTTATGTTTATAGCTCAGTGGTTTAGGCATTTAGCTGCAGAGCAAGAGGTTGGTAGTTCCATTCCACACTGTATCACTTGTGAGTAGAGAAAGCTTGTGTGGTCTTGGGCAAGCCGCCCGGTTCCTGGATGCCTACAGAAGAAGGGAATGACAAACCACTTCCAAGTACTCTCTACCTGGAAAACCCTGTAAAAGGGTTGCTAGAAGTCAGAATTGGCTTGGCAGCACATTATTTTGTTTTTTAACCATGCATAATAGAAACAGTGTCCTGCCACCTTGAATGACCTTCTGCTTCCAATGTCTCATGGCCCTGCTTATACCTTTGTGGAGTCAATTGCTTTTCCAGTCAATCCCCATCTGCTCTGGACCTGTCTGCTGAATTTTCTTCCCCATCCAGATTTCCTCATTTGCAATATTTGGTGAGAAAGTAAAAGACTGCCAAGCAGAACCAGTGGATTTGTCAGGGCAGGAAATAACCCCCAGGGATGCCTCAGGCCATTTCACAGGGAAGCGCTAAACAACTCTACCTAAATAAAATAATAACGCTTCTTTGAAGTACTGTAATTTTATTTTCAGATGCAATATTTGCATTGTTTTCAGGTTCATCTCTTGATAGTGTTATGACAACATACTGAGATGGAAAAATATCCGGAGAAACAAATTAAAATGCACAAACATTTCAAAGAAGTACCTGTTTTAGTCTTTTTCAGCTGGTAAGAGTACTCTCTTGCTAGAAAACCCTGAAAAGGGTCACCATAAGTCACAATTGATTCGATGGCACTCAATTATTATTATCATTAAAACAACAGAACAAAAATTAAACATCAGTAACCACAGCATTGTGTTATCTTAAAGACTAATAGTTTTTTTCAATGTGAACATTTAATGTTTATTATCCAGTTCTGTGGCATGGAATATATACGTATGTGTGAGTGTGCTCCATGCTGTCAAGTCAGAACCCAATATACAAGTAGTTTTGTTGTTGTTGTTAAACATATGAAGCCTCACCTTTCAACCTGTGCTGACTACACTGAAACCAGTTTCTGCCTGGTCAATACATCGAATACAACAACCAGCAGGATAAATTAAAACAGATGGCTATGAAGTTGGTAAAAAGGATGATGAAAGGGTGATAAAAAGGATGGTACTACCCCATGACTGGAGAATCACATAGCAATTTGCATGCTAAAATTAGTTTTGGAGAGCAAACATCAGACTTTTTGCCCTGTCACATCAATCATTAATATGTGCCTCTTGAGAGCTCAAGTGAAAAATGTCACTTAGTTCATGGGGAGATTTCACGCAGAATCCTTGCTCCAACCGAGTACAGAAATTATGCAGAAACTCATATAATAAATATATGCTATCAAGTCCATTCCAATTTATTCTGGCCCTTGTCAGCCTTGCCTAGGCTGAAAGAATTCATTTACTTCTATCTCCATCTTATGTCCCTCTGGGTTTGGGCAACTTGCCCAAGGCTACACAGGCTGGCTCTTCCACAGGGAGACATAGTGGGGAATCAAACACCCAACCCCTAGCTCTGCAGCCAGGTATTCCAATTCAGTAGCCTATCCAGCCAGCTGAAACTCATATGAATATTTCAAATTCAGACTGCACTTAGGGACATACAAAGAAATGAGGCTTATTATTGTCTGTATTTGCAGGAATATGCCCCTGTTCCCAACATTTGTGAGCAGATGTGATGAATAGGAAATCAAATGAAAGAAATCTTTATATTGTATCCTTCTCCCAGTATATTAGATTGACAACTTAAAAAAATATACAGGGATAATCAATAGATAAGCAGAGAGAATGTGCCCACTGGCCCTCCCTGACCTCCATCTTCTGCACAAAGCTTTGTTTGTACAAACTGTACAGTATTTGCACATTGTGTTTTTGCCAATGCATAGGCTGTCCAAAAGACCCAAAAATGTGTTGAAATTTGCAT